GATCCAAAAACAAACATCAAAATCAAAACCAAAATGGGTCACTGAGCACAAAACCAAGCATCTGCAATGGCCATCCCAGTCCCCAGACCTGAACCCTATAGAAAATGAGTGGGCTGAACGGAAGAGAAGAAGCGCCAACATGGATCTGGGAATCTGCAGGATCTGGAGAGATTCTGTATGGAGGAATGGTCTCTGATCTCTTGTCAGGTGTTCTCCAAACTCATCAGGCACTACAGGAGAAGACTCAGAGCTGTTATCAGAGCAAAAGGAGCTTGCAAAAAGTATTTAATAAAAGGGGGCAAATAATTTTTCCCAATGTGTTTTGGAGAAAAACATTTATTTCATAATGTGATTTTCCCCGACTTTCAATTCTTTTACTTCAATAAAGGGTTAGATCTTAGCATTTTTTTAAAATAAAATATCAAAAGGATAAACATCTTTGGCTTTTTATAGCCATCTTTGATCATATTTTACCAAGGCAGCAAATAATTCTGACCAGCACTGTACACACACACACAATCATTGATACAAATCAACACATAGTCTTTGCTAGTTCACAGCGCCTCTCTTTTGGGATGTCAGGGAGTGTTGGTTTTGGTTAGTTTACTTGGTAAATCATGAATGTGAATGTCCTCATAACAATCTGGCATCAGATCCTCCGCCTAGAAAAGAGCAGCTGTTTGATGACATTGATATGACCACAAGCTGTAAATGTCTCTGTGTGCAACTGTGCATGTGTGAGAACAAATCTTGTTCTGCCACTCACTGAGAAGTCTTTCAGAATGCTATTAAATCTGTTATTAAGGTTCATGTCTCTCTCTCTCTCTCTCTCTCTCTCTCGTCTCTCTCTCTCTCGTCCTCTCTCTCTCTCTCTCTCTCTCTCTCTCTCTCTCTCTCCTCTCTCCTCTCTCTCATCTCTCTCCTCTCTCTCTCTCTCTCTCTCTCTCTCTCTCTCTCTCTCTCTCTCACACACACACACACACACACACACAAACACACACACATCATTATGTGAACATTTGCACACAGAAGAACAAAGCACTCACATCACAGACATTCAGACACAGGCTCCATGTCTTGCACATATTTTCAGCAGATTAAAGGGCTCAAGGCCTGGCATGTTCATTTAATAATAATACAATCTCACTGTTATTGGATCACTATTTCAATTCTAAAAAGAGTTCCCAGAACATGGGTAAATCCTGACAGCAAGACAGAAGATTAATGTATTGTCTTATTAATGCCCGTGTTCTGTTGAGATGGACTTTAATGGGACTTCAAGCATAATAGTAGTAATTGTTGATGTAAAAATTTTAATTTTAACATTCTTTAACTCTTTCAATGTGTTTTTCTGACCAAATAAAAACCCAGTACGCAGATATTATTGAAGTTTCATCTCTGTGTTTTACCATAAATTACATGTTGCTTTCAGAAATTGGCAAACAAGAGGAGTGGAAGTCACTGAGCTCTATGTTTTGCCTGCATGAGACTCATTTGAAATGTTCTGGTATCTCAGATTAGCCATATCAGAGTCAAATCTATTACACACAAAAATCTTTTATTATACTATTTTTGAACACATTTATCCGGCTATAAAACATATTCTGCATAATCTGAAAATGTGAAGAAATGCTTCTTTCTGATAAATAAAGAAGTAGTCATATCAGTGTTGCCAGAGATCGAGCCATATGTTTGTATTCATTTGCATGCAAATGAAATTCACTGTATCACAGTGCATAGAGTTGCTAGTACTAATGAAGCCTGTAGGTGGCAGCAGAAGAGAATACATTTCCATACACCACATCAATATTGTATGATGCTAAATGGACTGAGAATGACTCATTTCTCACTTTTGAGCTTAAGTCACACTGTACACACTAAAAACTGACAATGTCTGTGTGCCACTGGACCAGCTATCCTCTCTTGACATTATAAAAGGGAATCAATATCCTGAGACAATTTTTGTCTAATTGTTGTACAATAAACAAAATCAAATAAAATGATGCACTAAAAAACATTGAGCATCATCCATTCGTATATCTAAGTTATTCTAAGCTGTCCTAAGTGAGCATTTGTGATTCCCAAATGATAGCCTAAACATAAACACCAACTATACCACAAACATACAAATATACACTGACCCACAAAATTTGGTCAGAGGTTCATTGCATTAAAAGCCCAGACCCTGTGGTAGAGAAACACTAATCTATATTACTGATCTTTATCACAAGTAAAACAAAGTGCTCGCGCGCACACACACACTCCTCAGCAAAGCTCTCCTTGTTATGTAATCCACAGTGCCTAGAGCTACAATACTGTGACACAATAGAGCAGAAACAAGACCAGTCACATAAGACCACTGCCTTCTTTTCAAATCACGAGAGGTTTGTGTTTGAAACATATACGTTTACTTTTTATATCGCAAATGGTTATTAACCATTTTCGCCCTCGTTGCAAGTGAACTTGCATATTTTCAATCATGTTTTAAATCATATTTAAATCATATTTTAAGTTCTGCTTCCCTCAAGCAAATGCAGAGTTTGATACATGACCTACTATCAACAACCCTTTCATTTTCTTAGTTTTTATGTAAGGTTGGTTCAACGGGGGGTCATGGTATTAAATCTCTAAAAACTGCTGCCTGAAAAGCACATCCTACAATCTGAGCCCTCAAACACAGGACCAATCTGCAGACTTTATCAGACTGAATTATGATTTGAAAATAGCTTTTTTCATTCATCATAACCACTCCACTTTCATACAAGTGCAGGCCTTTGTAGCCCACTTCCAACCCCCAAGCAGACTCAAAGGCTTACGAAGCAGCCTTTATTTCCCTGTTTTTTATCTACTTCCTTGTTTCTTCCATATACGATTTAATTAAAGAGATGTGTTAGGATCAATCCCCACAATCTTAAGGTGTCTGATCAAACAGGTACAGAATGCATGTCTCCCAGCAGTTTCCCCATCATGCATGCTTTACCCAGACTCCCTCTCATCTATCCTCACATGGCTCTACCCCTGAGACCCAGCAGGCTTTTAGCATTACAGCAAGCCCTGAAGAAATGTGAGCCAAATGTGCAAATGTGTGTGTGAATGTGAGAGCTTGTTGATCTGAGCAACTCTGTATTTTCAGTTGAAAGCGAGTGCATATGATTATTTTTGTTTGGGGTGTGTGTGTGTGTGTGTGTGTGTTTGTGAAGCCGACTGTACGCCATGCAGTTTCTTTTCCTGTATTTTACAATTGTTGCTTGTCAGCTTATATGATGTGACCTCAGTGAAAAATGTGGGCAAAAGCCAAGGCACATCAGCTGTCTTGTATGTCATGCTGTGCCGTATTCTTCTTTGCACACTGTTGTCACAATTGACAGTGTTGACTAGGCATTTTACATTATCAATCTCTCTCAGTCACATTCTGACATTCTCATTTACACAAAATGTAACAAGGCAAGGTCTGCCGTTGATTATATAGTAAGCAAACAATCAGTTCTGACGTGTTGGATGCAGGAGAAATGGGCAGGAGTAAAAGACCTGCCAAGGCCAACAGTGGTAAGAACATACCAACAATGGTCCCTAGGAGGGACAAACCACAAACCGGCGACAGGATGTTGGGCATCCAAGATTCATCGATGCGTGAGGGCAACAAAAGCTATCCTGTCAGGTCCGAACTTACTGCTGTGGCACAAGTCACAACATTTTAATGATGGTTAATGATGCGTCACAACACACCGTACATCGCACCCTACTGCGTATGGGGCTGAGTAGCTGCAAACGGGTCTGAATGACCCCTGTCCTACTGTCGAAAGCTCCTACAATGGGCACACAAGTGTCAGAACTGCATGGACCTTAGAGCAGTGGAAGAGCCTGGTTCTATCAGTCCCATTTTCTTTTGCATCACGTGGACAGCTGTGTACGTGTGGCGCCATTTACCTGGGGAAGTAATGCCACCAGGATGCGCTGTGGGAAGATAACAGCTGGTGGAGGGAGTGTGATGTTAATCTAGGCAATAGGTCTGCTGGGAGACCCTGGTCCGGCGGTCAATTTGACACTTGCCACCAACATAAATGTTGCAAACTAGGTACATGGCACAGTTGCAATTTTTTATAAATGTAAATGCTTAAGTCACATTCTGACATACTGTAAAGTCAGTGATGAGAAACAAAGTCGCAATTGCAAGAGAGATATCCGTTGTGAGATAAAAAGTCACATTGCGATATATAAGCTCAGCTATAAGAAACAAAGTTGCAATTGCAAGATATATAGTTGCATGTACTATGAGATAGAAACACTGCTTATGTTTTAGAGTGAACGCAAGGTGATTTTGATAGTAAGATCTTAACTTAAAGGCAAAATGTGGCAAAAATCATACAGCATGCGTACTGATTAAGAGTGTAAGCTGACAAAAGAAGTGGGTGCATGTTCAGTAAAAGGTGTAAGAATTAGTTTTTCTGCGTATGTGTGTTTCCTCTCTTTCTTACCCTTGAATTAGTCTCCTCACACACAAGCAAATGTGATGTGTAGTTGAGTAATGCGATCAGCGTACGGTTTGCCTAAGTGTTGATTACATGCCCAGAATTGTTACTTCATCATTAAGCGTTACATCTCACCACAAACAGAATGAGCCAACTGTGTACACAATAATATCAACTGATCATGTAATGAGCTATATCACACACACACACACACACACACAGAGCTTCAGCAAACAGCATTTGATGGGATTTGAGATTAAGTTCCTCCAGCTCTGAATAACATGAACGGTTCAGTGAGAATGTGCCTGAATGCATGATGACAAGCAATAAAACCTCAACAGGTTTGTGAAGGTTAGTGTACATTGACTGATTTAATTAGTCTATAAGAGAATCATTTACTCCAGACAGCAACTTTCAAGTTCTGGAGGCGTGAATAAACTTCCTCAGTGCGTGAACTTGGATGCAGTATAATATTGATGCAGAGATCCTACAAAAACAAAATGCTTGACAAGATTTTTCTGCCACACTTACGTTGGTTTGGAAGCCTCTGCTTGGTCAGTCTGAAGTTTCTGTCCACCTTCCACCTCCATGGTACAGTAAACAATCCGGTTAGGAGCTAAAGACTTCAGACCTTGTACCTCCATAATCACCACCTGTGGGGAAAACAACAGGAGATCTATAGAGACTAAGAGCACTAGCTGCTGGGGAGAAAATATAAATAATCATAATAAAAATAACAATAATACAACTTTTTAGTGGATGTTATCTAAACACATTGGATCTCGTTCACAAATAATTGTGTGGATTATTTGGGATTTGTACGCACAGGAGAACTTCTCTCGAAAAATTTCCAACGCATGCATACGCACATGAATTTGTTCTTAACATCGTTCTAATGTTAGTGAATTTGGAGTATTATAAATGTGTGGCCACGTGCACAAGGTTAGTCATTAGCATAAAACACGCCCAAACCAACTCCATATAAAGGGAATTCCGCACAACCTTTCCTTCAAAGACTTTCGTCACTCTCGCCAAACATATGCCACTCTCTGCAGAAGCGCTGTAGTCAGATCCTCGAGAAATCCCAAGTGTGTCATTCTCAAAACCGGTTTAAACACCTTTTATACAGACCCAATTACAGACCTCTCATTGGCCAGCTGTACATATGCATAAATCTGCGTAATTCAGAGAAACCTCGCAGCTGAAGCTATACCGCAGCTTTTCTTACTCTTTCACTGTACCTGTAAATATGATGAAATATATTTAAGATTCTATTAAATTATATAATTTATTAATAATATAATATAATATAATATAATATAATATAATATAATATAATATAATATAATATAATATAATATAATATAATATAATATAATATAATATAATATAATAGCGTTCAGATGAAATAGGCTATAACTTTTTGGTGAATCATTATTTGTTTGTGAAAACGTTCCTACGCAGATTTCGTACACACATTTGTGCATACGCATGCTTAGTTAATGAAACCCAGAGTCCATAATGACAAAAACAAAATTGCCTTTGCCAAAGAAAGCAATACCTTTTCTAAAAAAATTATAATAATAATTAATTGACAAAAAATGTGCAGTATAAAAATAAAACAATATTACAAAATATTGTATTAAATTTAGCCAAATATTTTTTATAATCCATATTTTTCCTAATTTCTCTTAAATTGTGGTGTAAGTGTGAAGGGGGGTAACAGCGATGAAAAAGTGACCTGAGAAGAGTCAGATGATTAAAGTTCATTGCGATATGATTGACCAATCATTGTAATTGCATGGGGGAAAACACATTATTCAGAATTTCTCAATTTATTTTCCCTGGTGGGAAGAAAGTAATTTGGGTTTGAAACAACGTGAGGGTGAATAAATGATAACAGAATTGAAATTTTGGGGTGAACTAATCCTTTGACATTTGAGATAAGTTCCAACTTCATCCAAACCCACACACACACACACACAGCATCCGTGCATGAGGAGAGAGGATGGGAGATGTGTCAGATAAAGCAGTCATCACAAAGGTATCCGTGAAAGGGGAACGAGCTGTTAACACACGACATACATCACATGGTTTTATTGCTCTCTTCTTCAGGGAATATCTCCACTCAGATACTGTCACTTGATTAAAGCTAGCTTTATAGCAGGTTGTCAGTACCACTCAGGATTTTCTCTGTGGCTTGTGCTAAGTAAGGCCTGTCTACACACACACACACACACACACACACACACACACACACACACACACACATACATTCAGAATTCTCCTGTCCTCTTTTAAACCTGCACAATGAAGAGAAGATGACATTTTCAATTTGTCACTCTGCAAATCAAAGACCAGTATATCACTAATGCACCAACATGGTGTTATATTTGACAGTGATATGCAACTTGTTGTAATGAGATATTCAAAGCAATAACTGTGCAAATTACATTATTACCCGATAAAAAAAGAACACGGAAATTCTATGTCAAGTCAGTAATGAATGTCAAAACCATCACAGATTCAATTATCCAATCAATTTCTATCAAATCACAAGATACAACAAGATGGTGGTGAAAAGGAAAGAGTTGATGCTGAGTTTGTGTTTGTTTCATATGCTCAACAAATTCGCTTTTCTTAAGAGTGGGCAATGAGATGTGGTTTTCTGGAAAATTCAGTGTTATAAAAAGATCTGAAACAAGGCCAAAAATAATGGGTGAGATAAATTTGTGAGTTTTGTGAATCTCAATAAAAGCAAAATCATTTTAAATTTTGAAACTCTTTAACCACTAGGTAACAACAGCCCAAATTTCAAACACTAATGTACATGATCTTGAACACTAATGTACATGATAAACTGTATATATAAACCTATTCTGACGGGTATTTTTGCACTTCACAGATATGTAAGCGCTTTGGTGGCCATGGGTCTGTTGAAAGCGCTATATAATGCAGTCCATTTTCCATTTTTACCATTTCACAGATGCACGACTTTGGTTTAAAAAAAAAAAAAAAAAAAAACATGAGAAAATTACCTCCTAAATTTGTTTTTCTCAGGGGTCCTTTGAAAGATCTAATTACACCTCAGTAGGAATATCTAAATATGTGTAAGTATATTATTTTTAACATTCTTTTATTTAGTCATTTTTGATTTACGTTAACTAAACCTAAATTTAATGGAGATATAAAGAAAAAAAGAAATCAACAAAGAGAGTTTGATGCCGGACACTGCTCAGAATGGCCCTTAAAGACATTGGAAAAAAATAGGGATTTAGACTTTCAAGAGCTCATGTTTGGACCTAAACATTATTTGAACATGCTAACCGAAATGCAGGGAGAAATGCTAAACAGGAACAAGTACCTCCAGAGTGAAAGACAAAACTACGTCAGACTTGGAGAGCTGATTCTCGTCCTCTTGGCCCATGTCAATGATGGAGGTGTTGTGGCCTCTCTTGAGCTTCTGTAGTTTGAACTCTCCACCTTTAGACACTGGCATGCTCTCCAGATTGGCCATCAGCAAGTTCACTGAAGACTTCAGCTCCTCAATGTACATGGCCTCCATGTCCCTGGACACAAACTTAGGGAACCTGCCAGCCTATTCAAGGTGTTAAAGAGAGAGAGAATTTTTTTTTAATTCTGGCCAAGAGGGACAAAACAAGACATCGGGACATTTTGTGCCTTGGAATTGGCTACTTTATAAGCCTGAAAAGAACAGTATACCACAGCTTCATGTGTAATTGTATGAGATTGGAACACATACTTTTGTGAACTGATCAGCCATTTGGAGTCGTCCATCCAGCTCTCTTCTTATCTGGGCAGCCTGTTCATCAAGATTATCCAGCTGTAAGACACAAACATTTTAATGCATTTAAACTGACATTCCAAACACTTTTCCTCTGTTAAAAGATCAACCTGTGTCTGACCTTCACGTTACAATAAATAGTGACAAAATATCAAAGGTCAACATTTTCAAATGCTCACTGTATATACATGAGGAACAATTTATTAAGCATTCACAAAAGACCAATATAGATCAGGGGTGCGTTTCCCGAAAGCATCGTTAGCCAACTATGGTCACAAGTTCCGTCATTACCAATAGAGTTCAATGGAAATTGCGATCATAGTTGGATAGACGCTTTCGGGAAACGCACTCCTGAGCCGAATTTTTTTTTATCAAAGAATCCTGAAAAAAAATTATCACATTCTCTTCAAAAAAATTAAGCAGCACAACTTTTTACCAAGTTGAAAATATGAAATGTTTGATGATAATAATAATAATATGAAATGTTCTGAAGGATCATGTGCCACTAAAAACTGAAGGAATGATGCTGAAAATTCAGCTTCTAATTTTTTTTTTTTTAAATATACTCAAATAGAAAACAGTTATTTTAAATTGTAATAATATATTAGACTTTTATGGTGTTTTTGATCAAATAAATGCAGCCTTGGAGCATAAAAGACTTCTGTCAAAAACATGTATAAACATCTACTGACCCTAAGCTCATGAACAGTACTGTATGTATATAACATAAATTAAAACTGCATAATATACCAAGACTTGTTTGCAGAGAATACATCTTGAATGAAGTTTTAGGTGTAAATCATTACATTTTGTTAGATGTACCATACCAAATAAACCTCAAGCAAACTATATTTAATATCTGAATGTGACTTTATGTAAGCCTCTATCCCCTACATTCACAGCTCTGTCCATTTAAAAGCCTTCATTAGTCCTTTCTAGCAGGACTGTTATTAGATTAGAGGCCAAAATCCATCAGCCATTTGTCATCATGTCACTGTGAGACGGTGACTTCCGAATCTGTTAAAAATAGAAGCATGAACTTCTGATCCTGACATTAATATTAAACAAGATTAAAGTACACTCACGACAAACAATTTGTAATTTGTACAATTACAAAATATGCATACTTATAGATTTATACACAGATATCTGAATACATTTATGGACATGTATGTTGCTACATATAAAGCTAGAATTGCTTAGCTAGTATGGGGAAAAATACAATGGAAGTCAATGGGGTCCCATCAACTATTTGGTTACATTCTTCAAGAAATTCATACAGGTTTGGAACAACTTGAGGGTGAGTAAATGATGATAGAATTAAAAAATTTAGGAGAACTATCCATTTAATCTGACACTAAGCTCTCCAAACCAGAAAAATCATCCGGGCTAAGAATAGGATGGACCTAAGTATTTTTTTTTTTTTTTATTAGCTAGCTTTATATTTCCCTCATTTAAAGTCCAGCTAAAAAAAAGGAACCATAGCTGGCAGCCTGGATGTTTAAAAATCCTGTTGCAAAAACCAAACTTTTCTTCTAATTTATCGGTTTATATGATTCAAGACCAAAGGACGCGTCTTTAAATACCCTGCATGTTCCATGCTAAAGGGTTTTGAACTAATGGTGAGTTCAGAGCCTTACAAGGGAGGAATTGGCCAGTCAGTTGCGTTGTTGGCTGGAGGGCCATCTGGACAGGTTGTGGCCGTGGTGTCCCCCTTCCTGACTCCAGCTGGGCTAAATTCAGTACTCAAAAAGCTGCAAACACCTACACCCTTTCATGAGGATTCCTACACACAAGTGAGTTTACTTTACACACACCAATGCACTCATACAGAATAATGAGTGCATGTAATTGTGCAGGCATACACAATTCAAACACATGCTCACTTAATTCATGCATGAATTCATGTACACATTCTGTCAGTATTTGTCATAATTGTGTTTTCATAATCAAATGCTTAATTTTACTGCACAATACCAGGACAGGTGTCCAAGACACAGATTAAGCCTCATCCCAGATCAAAAATATTTTCCACAGAGAATACACCTGTGCTATGATTACTAGATCGGCAATTTCAGGTTTGTCAGATGATGGAGTCATAACTTGTTTGACTGACTATTTTCTGTTTCTTCATGAAAGAAGATATTTTGAAAGTCAATGGGGTCCAAACAACATAAAACATTGATTTTTTTTTTATTGATTTTTTTCATGTCCAATAATGACATTCATTAATAAAATCATGCAGGGCTGCAGTCTGCTCCATAAATCTATAAACTTTAAACTTTTTATTATTGACAGAAAATCTGGCTCATATTGTAGTTTATTATGCAACAAAGCTTATTTCAACACAGAAATAACTCTCATAACAACAATTAACGACTCTCATAGCAACCCACCATTCTATTGTGACACCTTTGTCAACCGGACAAAATAAGAAGGGCCTTAGTTTAACAGCCTGAACTTTAAAAACACTTAGATCGTCATAATTGTCTCCTATAAAATGTGCTTTAAATATGGAAACCCAAAAGAAACAATTGTCTCACTCTCAACACCAACTGCATTTTGAAATTAAAACTTCTGACCTTTGGGAACGCTAGTGGAAACTTTTTAGTTTTAGCTCCCGAAATATTTAGAAATTGAAACCTGCTAAATGTAACACGGCAACATTTATTATAAAAATATTAAATATATTCCATTACGATCTAGGCTAAGCCTTAAACAGAACTGCTCTGACCACTACCCATTTCTGCTTGAAATGATACTGTTTCCCCTAAATGGCATGTTTGAGTTCGGTCACAAACATGCTAACAGCAATTTTAGCTTTTCAAGCTGAGACCGAGCAGCACAGCATGGTTCTCCTCCTGCTGCTCTGGTAGACTGAGCCAGTCAATGCTAAAGATGAATCGGCGTTCAGTCTTTATCACACATGGCTCACATCTCTGCTGCCTCTCTTTGTGTTGACACGGCAATGACAAAGTAGCTAACAAAAAATAAACTGCCACCACGGCCATTTAACTTCTCTGTGAGGCTTTTGATTAGGCCTAAATTGAATTATCTGCTCTGGCTTTGAGCCAGGTCGGTCTTAAAGTGAAAACGAATTTACACCAGATGTACGGCATTGTTTTAAGCAACCAACCATTCTATCTCGACAACTTGGACACCCATGGAACCAGATTTAGAGAGGCTATTATCAAGTCGACAGAGCTTGATAAAATGTAAAAGATGGGTTCTGCCAAACAAGGCCTTCAGACGAAAATAAACAAATAACCGGGAGTGCCATGACACATCATAACTTTGTTTAGATTTTCATGCACTAGTAAGGGAGCAATCTGTAATGTCATTGCCTGATGATAATTAGATTTGGTGTAAACAAGACATGTGTAATTAAATTAATGTGGCTAATCTAAGCCAGCCAAGGCAGAGAGATTGTCTGGCCTCTGTGTGTGTTAATGCCATGTGAGTGGAAGGTGAGACCAACAGAGAGCCAGATAGTGTCATGAGAAACAACAGTTTCTCAGAAATGAAAAATAATAATAATAATTAAAGCTGCTAGCAGCATTTAGCGGTGTTCAAGCAGTTAAGGCCTTTAAGGCCGTTAAGCACAAAAACATCAAAAGACATTAAGTTTTATGTAGCAAGCATTTAAACATTGACATCATAGATGGAATAGACCATGTTTTAGCATGATTTACCATGATATACCAAATTTAGTGTGATTTTTCATGATCTACAATGTTCCAGTATGATTTACCATGAATCTAGCATGATTTACCACAGTTTACCATGATTTCCCATGTTATAGGATGATTTACCATGATATACCACATTCTAGAATGATTTACCAGGATTGTAGCATGATTTACCATGATTCATCACATTGCTAGCATGATTTGCCATGATCCACCATGTAATAGTAGTTTTTACTATGATTTACCATGTTTCTATCGTGATTTACCATGATTTACCACATTGCTGCATTGATGTGAAGGGCCAATAAAAATGAAGTGATAAACTCTGACAAAAAATGATTGTGTTATAATAGTTAACATGGAAAAACTGGTTTGCTTTAGTGCTTTGATTTACTGTTGAAAATCAAGTGTGTCAAAATGAGAGTGAGCCAATAAGTGGTATTCTACTGCCCTCTGCTGGCCATTCTACTTATTAATAAAGTGTTTTCACAGGTGCTTTTGCACTCATATGTATACATTTGATCACACACACACACACACACACACACACACACACACACACACACACACACACACAAAGTCATTATATAAATATATTTTAATGGTCTATAAGCATTTAATGTCTTTGCAAGCTATTAATCAGATTATTCAGCATTTATTCAGAAACCTAGGACTACACACACACATTCTGTTGTAGATACAGATATTTGAACTATGTGATGGAAAAAAGAAATGTTTACTGCAATTGTCCTTCAGGATTCATATTTCTCAATGCACTACAATAGTCAGTTTACCATGGTTTGTCTTAGTTTACCTTGATGTTACCTTGTTGTGACCGAATGTTACACAATAATTTATCATGATATACCACATTCTAGAATGATTCAGCAGGATTGTAGCATGATTTACTATGATTTACCACGTTGTTAGCAATTATGTGAAGTTTCAGAACAGTAAAGTGAATTGAAAGACAAAATATGATTGTGTTATTATAGTAATTGTCACATAAGGTTATTTTTTAGTGTCTGAATATATGAATGCAAAAGCACATGTGAAAAGACTATTAATAAGTATAATGTCCAGCAGAGGGTAGTAGAAGACCACTTATTGCTATAGTACCACTTTTATTTTGAACTACTTGGTTTAATCAGTATCAGGGTTTCCGCGGGGTCATAAAAAGTCATAAAACGTCTTAAATTTAATAATAAGAATTTTAGGCCATAAAAACGTCCGGTTTTTCCATACAAGGTCATAAATTACATTTAGCCACGTCTTAAATTGATATGCTCATTCATTCATTATCGCGATATAATGTTTTCTCTATAAAACGATATCAAGAGTTCGATAAAT